GAAAGCCGGGACCCCCCCCTCTCACCCCGAGGTGCTGCAAGCGCAGAAGAGGGGAGAGCCCAGAGGTTTTGGTGGGTTTGATTATTTTGAGAGACCGTCCCCATGGCCGTTTCCGCAGCGGCTTTTACGAGGGAAAGGCGGGGGGAACGCTGTCGGGTTTTTTTGCCCAGACATAATCCTCAGAGGACAGCGCATCCAGCGGGGCTGGCAGCATTGCCCAAGCCGTTTGATTATTGTTTTAGGAGGAGAAGTAAATCAAACTTCCCCACATCTTGCTGCCAGGCTCCCCCCGCCTCTGCAGCACCGAGGCAGTCAGGCTGGCCGGAGCTGCAGCGCCAGGGGCCGTGCTAGGTATTGCCTTGGTCTGATACTTCAGAACATGTTAAAAAAAAAAAAAAAAAAAAAAAAAAAAAAAAAAAGAAAACCCAGCTCACAGAATTTTAGGTCCGGATTAAAACCCCTTTGGGCTGCAATTTCCACCTAAATCTCTTTCTAATGATGAGGCGCTTCCATACGCAAAACCTTGGGTTGCCTCTCCCAACCGTAGTCATAATCACGCTGTCGGTGCCTGCCTTATTTTCTGGCATATAAAGGAGGCTCAGATATGGTTGTTCGGGGCGTATGCAACGGGGCTGAACAGCCACAAGGACCGGCACAAAGCAGCTACCTATTTACACGGGGCTATTGCCTTCCCGAAGGCAATAAACTCATTATTTCATAAAGAGGCATATTGGAACTTTGCTCCTACCCACTCGATTGCTTTGCAAGTACTGGGCGCGAGGGCGCAGTGGTCCAGATGATTTTGGAGGTAAAGGCCGGATTTGTAGGAGAGCAGAAATGCAGCCATCTTCCCGAAGGGCTTTCCAGAGAGCCCCAAAGGTAACGCTCGGCTGGTGTTTCGGGAGGGAGAGGGAAAACCAGCCCAACTTTGGAGGCGCGTTTCTCGCCGTCCAGCATGGCCACTCTCACCGCCGTAGCCAATGCAGACAAAAACCTACCTCGCTGGTGGCGGGGTGGCGGCCGTGGGCGAGCGGAGGCGAAGCAGCGCCGGGCGAGGGCTCCCCGAGGGAAGGGGATGCGCACCTAGGCACCTACGGTCAGAGGCACCACCCCTGGGTCCCTCCAAATCTTGGAGGCATTCAGCCCCTGTGCTGGGAGCTGGCGCATTGCGGACAATAAAAGTCTCTTCATTCAGTAGCGTTTCCCTAATTAAAAAAACTAGAAGCAACCCCAATGATGCAAGCCAGGAGGAAAGCAAAACCCAGATAAAGCCCCTTTTCTTACTCCCTCCTGGAATACTCTTCAGCCGGCTGCATTCCGTGAGGAATGGACCCTGTTTGCCGCCCTTCCCTGCCCTAACCGGCCCCGGTACAACCGGTCCCTTTACTACACGGGTGATGCGGAATCCGAAGAGGAGCCTCGGGTGAAAAGATGCGAAAGGCAATGTATTATTTATCAAACGCATCTGACCCACGACGGTAGCTCGTGGTAAAGCTGCTGGTCTAAATCGCCCACGGAGGGAGTGAAACACGGAGGAGGTAGGCTCTAAACAGCGATGGGATGCAAAAGTACGCGGATTACGTATGTGTGTATGTGCCGGGGTGTGCATAGATGCGCTTACTGCGGCAGCGCCCGTGGCGTGTAACCCTGTGTGCGCAGGCACAGGCGGACACGTTTGCGGGCGCAGGCTGCGCACAGGCACGCAAGGCGGGAGAAAATGGTGCACGGCTTCACGCGTGCCCGCACCCCAGGTTGCAGCTGGTCCTCTGAAGCAGCGGGGGACGACAGCCGTCCCGGGCGTGCGGGGAGGCACCCACGCACGGGGCAGAGCTGCG